AACAAAGATTTTCAACGAACATAAGTTTAGAGGAATGACTTGCAAGGCCAAGATGTACCAAATTTGTGAGGTTCCCAAATTGAGGAGGAATCTTCCCACTAAATTCCGCATAAGAGAGGTCGAGGTAAGTTAAGGAGGTGATTGCTCCAAGGAAAGTAGGAATTTGCATACCTCCAAAGTCATTGTCGCTTAAGTCTAAGTAATTCAAATGCTTCAAATCAACCAAACATGGATTTATCTCTCCACCAAACCTCGACTTCAGAAAAGCATCTTATTCGACATCGTCGTACATGGGCAGTTATATTACTGCACACAAAATCCTACCCACTGGCAGCAATTGGTATGAGCAGTTGCTTTCCAAGAAGAAAGCCTATTCGAAGGATCAATGAGATGATCTTTCAACTTAACATGTGTTTCACTCTCACTTGGGATGCACACTACTTCGCAAATTACTACGGGAAACGTCAACAACGCAAGACAGATAAGGCTAAATATAGAGGAATTCATGATCACACAATGCATTCCATACCATGTTATTTAAGTGATTCTTCCTTGTGCAGATTAACCGTCTTTCTAATATTTATATTGGTTGGTGCTTTGCCAATTTTTAAAACTGAAATCTCATCATCTGCCTTCAGGTTGAGAAACATTTCAAATCTTAACCAATATAGTTAGACAATGCATTCTACTTGTGCTTATTATCAAAGATTGAATTGTTTAAGTATTTGATTATGCAAGTGTTCAGAAAATGTTAATATTACGTTACTAACTTGCATTTTAAAAAATAATAAATTATATTCTCATAAATTATGTATACTTAAGATTTGATTAAATAAACATTTAATTAAGTTGAATTTTCATATATAACCCAATAATATAAGAAGAAAATAATTTACTACTTCTTAAAATAAATAAATAATTAATTTTAACTTGAACTACTTAGAAAGCAAAAGTTTTAAGTGAAAGTGATCCACCACAGTTTTACGTTCAAAATAATAAAACTGTAAATTAATTAAATTAAAAGCAAGGAAGAAGGGAGCAACAAATTTTTGTGGAAGCTTCTACTTTTTATTTAAAAATAATACATACAGCCAAAAACTTAAATTTCTATTCATGCGGCGGCTTCTAATATCCTCCCTTCTTTTGTAAAAAATAAAGAGAAGAAATCTTTTGCAAAAGCTATCATGTATTATGGACCGTTAATTTTAATCGAATGGTTACGAATGAATTACAGGATACCGATTATTCAAGTTAGATTTCTAAAAGGATACATTGATAATTTCGTGGTTTTATTCTTTCTTCGTGTTTTGTACGTCTTCTTGTTGTTGCTCATGTTGTTATTTTAATTTTTCGCATCACAAGATAATTATGGAACTGGGTTGCATTATGTCCCATTTCATTTCTTGACAAACGTGAAACTGTATCAGAATTATCTCTTAAGACTTACATTTAATAGTGATATGTTTTATTTTAGTTGCATTTTTATCTTTCATCTGTGAAAGACATATAATATTTGACGGTATTTGTGGTGAAACACAGACACATTTTCTACTATATCAACCTTTAAGATACAGATTGTAGATAGAATGATGGAAGTTATAAAATAATTCAATTTGGAATTGTAGGCAATATTACAAAAAATTAAACGTGAATATCAGTTTGTGCAATAACCCACATATAGAAGAACCTATATTTATTAGTGTGATATGAAGAATCTATGTACCATTTTTGTTGTGAAAATGAAAGGGTAGAATATATACGTGAAAGAAATAGGAGCGGGATTTGCATCGGTTGTTATAAAACTAATATCATTAGGTGACGATCGTAATTAATTTGCATCAGTTTTGTGGCAACTACGTTATAAATTATGTTCATGGACTGTATTTGTATCGGTTATATGAGAGAACCCATGTAGATATACTTTGTGAAGGACTCCATTTGCATCGGTTTTATGGCAAGTCCGATGTCATTAGGCAACCACTTGTGTTGACTTGATATGGCCACTTTTTACATCTGTTATGTGATAGAACCCATATAAATATACTTTGTGAAAGAATATTGCATTGGTCATCCAATTCAACAGATGTAGAAGTGACAACCCATTTTAAAATTTGAAATAATGACATAACAGATGTCATTATCTAACCACCCTCTACTTTACCCATATTTCAATGACTTCCTTATAGATTTCCCCATCCACTCCCGTTGTGTTTAAATCATTCTCAGGTATGCAGTAACTTGCTCGGGACAATGGGAAAGCTGTCTCATAGTTGCCTGTTCTGATTCCCGATTATAAGTAAGGCCGATTTCGCTACTTCATATAGGCTACTCAAGGCGTTGTTCACACGTCTTGGTGAAGAAGCTGTGATTGGTGCGATTTTTGCTTCTTTCCATTCTTTCTTATACTCTGGTAGGTCAGTGATCGAGAGATTATGTATTGAAGAAATAACCGATGCTCTTTCCGCTCTTGGTGGAATAAGTTGGTGCTTTATGCTTTAGTAGGGGCATTCTCTTCTGTTTCAGAAAGAACTCTGAGTGAACAAGGCACTATCTTTTCTCAAGCTTGATTCGCAATAGCTATCAGTTCAAGCAGGCCGCGTATTTTTATTCTAATGTCCATTGTCTCTTTTCTTCCTGCTATCTGGTTGTTCTATTTATACGTCTGTTCCCCTCCTCATGCTCGCTTTCTTTTTTATCATTTCGACTTCATGCTATAACTGATGTCATAACAGAAGCACCTTCTATATATTCTACGTTGTCTACATTTGCATCGGCTGTGTAGTCAAAATGATGTCATTATGTGGCCACCTTTTATATATTGTGCATGCCCTCTTTTTGCATGGTTGTGTGCTACAATTGATGTCATTTCAGATGCACCTTTTACATATTACGCATGCACTCTATTTGTATCGGTTCTATGTTAAAACTGATGTCATTTCACCACAACCTTTTTTACATTGCGCATCTACTGTATTTATATTAATTAGGTTCTAAGGTCATGTCTCTTATTGACAATTACTTCCTTACTATGTCGTGTTAACCATATCTACATGGCTGTATGGGGCATATCATGTTAATCAAATTTTATGTACACAACTTGTCACATTTACGTTATTAACCCTTTTCATCCTGCTCACTATTCATTCCTATCCGCATTTGTTTACCTTTTCAATATTTAATCTTAGCCATCCAATTTTAAACTGCAACAATCAACGGCTCACTTTCAATTATTAATCACTTATGCAAAAGTTATGCTTTCCAAAAAAATACACTTTTTACAAAAGAAGGGAGGATATTAGAATCCACCTATTTTGAACATTAAATTAGTAATAAGATTAGTTATCTAACTTCATATACTAATACCATTCATACCAGTTCTCCTAATAGGAAAGCATCCTTATAGAAACATAGTTTCTTATCATCAATTTTAGCTTTCTCGTACAAAGCCTTGCTAGCTGATGGAGCAGTCATTATATCAGCTTCTCCGTGCATGATCAATAATGGAAGACAAACCTGACAACGCTTAGTCTTAACAAAAAAATTTCTAAATAACATGAGTTTAGTTTAAAAGATTTTTTAAAATTAGTTTATAATTCTTATAATATTTTAAGCTTATTTTAATAAATTATTGAGTATAACTGTATGGAGAAATGTATCATCATATTTTTCAACAAAAATATTCTATTTTTAATTTCTTAAAAAGTGCCAGTTTTCATTAGAATTTGGCAAAAAAGGACTAAATGTATTGTAAAAAATCATTAAAAAATAAATAAGATTCCTGAACATTAAAAGTACATATTTTTAGTTGAGTTAAACTCATTTTTATTTAACAACTTAAACTTATTTAAATTTTAATGAGTAGTAACTGAGAATTGAAAACAAAGATGTTATTTTAATACATATGCTTTGGGCCACTAAATATACATCTAAATTATTTTAAAACAAAACCAAAATCACCATGAAAAACATATTTTAAACATTTTTTTTCATATTTTTCACTTCTTTTTTGTTCTTTTTTCCTTTGGCTAAATTACCATGAAAAAAAATTAAGAAAATCACTAAAACAGTGAAAACAAAAATTTCTTCAAAAGTTGATTCATTTTCACTTAACAACCGATCTTTATCTTTCAAATTTTCTCTCTCTCTCTCTCAGCTTCTCTATCTGCAGCATCTCTCTGGGCAGCCCTCCTTCCCCTCTCCCATCAGTCTCCCCTTTCCCTTTCACTCTCTCAACCACACACATCCTCACGCACTCCCTTTCTCATTCCTTATAAATTTTGCAAAAATTTTTATTTTCATTTCGTTTAAACAAAAATAATGTCCAGCGCAATCAGATCCGTGTATTGCATAGCCGCTGTCTCTCTTTGTTTTAGTAACATAGAGAAAGAATGGTCGACATAAGAATAAGAATAAAAATATCATAAATAAAATATTTTTAATTTTGTATCTCAATTATGATATATTATTCATAGAATTTTTATATTAATTATTATAAAAATTAACTATTGATATGATAATTCAATATTAGATATTAAATTAAATTTCAATTAATACGTAAGAAAAAAATTTCTAAATAACATGAGTTCAGTTTAAAAGAGTTTCTAAATTTGTTTATAATTTTTATAATTTTTTTTTGTTTATTTTAAAAACTTATATATTGAGTATAACTACGTGAATAATTTCTTTTCTGTTTATCTAAAAAACCAAATTACGTTGTGTTTTAGTTAGGGATTTGAAAAGAACAAGGTAATTTTTGAAGGTTATTTAAATTTATACTTCCTAAAATTACTGATTTAAGTAATTAACAGAAAGATTTACAAAATTTATTTTTGAAGATTATTTAAATTTTGCATGTTTCAGATCAATCAAACGGCGACCGGTTCCAATATTGCATAAGGTTTACCATCAAAACCAATCATTACTATATATTTTTGAAGAATGAGAATGTAGCAATCATCTAGGAATAAAACACTTACTAAGCTAGTAAGGCCAACCCACAGTTACAAGCTAGGAGTCTTCGCCAGAGTCTGACAGCAATAGGCTTCAAATGGAGTGTCGTTGATCTAAAGCAATAACATACAATAAGCCTCTGTCAATAACATAAATATATCTGGAACTACATGTTTGGAATGCATTTCTCTGAAGAGATTCATGGCTTCATTCACCTTTCCAGTGTTGCAGAAACCACCTGTAAGAGAAGTGTAAGTTACTGCAATTCGAACCATACTTTTGCAAACCATTTCTTCAAAGAGATTCATGCTTCATGCACTTCTTTAATCTTGCATAATCCATTAATCAATCTGCTGTAGCTATGTACATCACGCATTACACCACACCACTTCGGATCATGGTGTTGAATACATACTTTCCATTCTTTACTTCACCAAGGAGGCAATAGCCACCCAGTAAAGTATTATAAATAACAACATTTGGTTTCACACCTTGTCTTATCATCACAGCCAACACATTTTTAACTTCTCTCACTTTTCCATCTTTACATAATCTATCAATCAATGTGCTGTAGGTATAAACATAAACATCTGGGTTGATGCTTTTCAATACCGTTTCATTGAGCAAACCAACTGCTTCCTTCAACCCAAAAGACAAAAGCAATGGATTAGACTGTTGTAAGTGATATCATTGGGATAAATTCTATTGCAAACCATTTCTGAAAAAAAAAATAAAAAATCGCATGTCTCTGTCACAAATTTATCTTTGCATAGACTATCAATGATTATATTATAGATTGGCACATCAGACTGAATCAATTGCCCTTCAATCAGTCTAATAGATTTATCGAAAAGTTTTTAGTCCCCATTTCGGCCAACTCTACGTCATCTTTCTTTGGCTGAGTGGCATGTATTTCTATGGTGCTCGTTTTTCTAATTATGAGGCATGGTTAAGCGATCCTACTCACATTAGTTCTAGTGTCCAGGTGGTTTGGCCAGTAGTGGACCAAGAAATATTGAATGGTGATGTAGGGGGTTCCGAGGAATACAAATAACCTCCGGTTTTTTTTCAGATTGCAGCTCTTGTATCTCCCATTTTACACAATCCATTGACCAGCGTCCCATAACTAATTGTGTCCAACTGAAAATGCAATGCTTTTCTTTTCTGACATTACCGCTAAGACATGGACCATTCATGAGTGCACCGAAGGTTATGATATTTGGGTGATAACCCAACCTGTGAATCTTGGCCAATACCGAAAAAGCTTAAGGTCATGTGACGCAGTTGCAGCAACAATTCATGAGCATATTGAAAGTAAAAAAGTCCGGCGTAATTCCCTTGAGTCCCAACTGTCCAAAAAGAGAAATAGCGGATAAGGGTGCTTAATCTTAACAAGGGACCCCAAAATCTTGTTAAATTGAATGATGGGTGGAGAAGGACGCATAATGAGCATGCGATTGAATGAGGCGACAGCTGTCATCAAAATTGTGAATAAACGGTGGTGAAGAGAGAGAGTGAAGCTTTACAGAATAAGAGAGACGAAAAGGGGTAAACTTGAGAAGAGTGAGTGAAAGAGCATACTTTAACCTTGAGAACGACATCTTCCTCTAATCCCAAAATTAAAATCAAAAGTGAAAGAATGAGTTTAGACTTTTAGAGGTTTCAATGGATGGATGAAGGAACTGCGTGCACGTGTACTGTATACGCAGCTGCCTATTTGTTTTAGCGAGATAAAAGAACGGTTTGAACTTTATACAAGGTTATAGAGGAGAGTGGTAGACAATAACAAGAACAGATAAATATCATAAGTAAAAGATTTTTAATTTAATATCTCAATTATAATATATTATTGATAGGATTTTTATACAATTAATATTTAATCGTAAATATTAACAATTTTTAAAACTGAGATCTCATATTCTGTTTTTAGGTTGAGAAATATTTCAAATCTTAACCAATACAGTTGAATTGTTCATTCTACTTGTGCTTATTATCAAAGATTGAATAGTTTAAACATTTGATTATGTATGTGTTTAGAAAAATTGTTAATAATATGCTATTAAGTTTGCATTTAAAAAATATGATAAATTATAATCTCATAAATTATGTATATTTAACATTTATTAAATTAACATTTAATTAAGTTAAATTTTCATATATAACCAAATAATATAAGAAGAAAATAATTTTCTATTTTTAAAAATAAATAAATAACTAATTTTAACCTGAACTACTTAGAAAGCAAAAGTTTTTATTAGTGAAAGTGATCAATCACAGTTTTATGTTTAAAATAATAAAACTTTAAATTAATTAAGTTAAAACTAAGGAAGAAGGGAGGAACCAATTTTTGTGGAAGCTTCTACTTTTTATTTAAAAATAATACAGGCAGCCAAAAACTTATAAATTTCTATTCAAGCATTGAACATTAAATTAGAAATATTATTGGTTATTTAACTTTATATACTAATATCATTCATATAAGTTCTCCTAATAAAACATGAATACATAGGAAAGCATCCTTATAGAAGTATAATTTCTTGTCAGCAATTTTAGCTTTCTGTACAAAGTCTTGCTAGCTGATGGATTAGTTATTATATCAGCCACTCCATGCATGATCAATAATGGCAGACAAACCTGACAATGCTTGGTCTTAACAAAAAAAATTCTAAATAACACGAGTTTAGTTTAAAAGATTTTTTAAAATTATTTATAATTCTTATAATATTTTAAGCTTATTTTAGTAAATTATTGAGTATAACTGTATGAAGAAATGTATCATCATACTTTTTAACAAAAATATTCTATTTTTAATTTTTTAAAAAGTGCCAGTTTTAATTAGAATTTGGCAAAAACAAGGAATAAATATATTGTAAAAAATCATAAAAAATAAATAAAGATTCCTTAACATTAAAAGTACAATTTTTAGTTGAGTTAAACTCATTTCTATTTAAGACTTAAACTTATTTAAGTTTTAATGAGTAACAGAGAATTGGAAACAAAGATGTTGTTTTAATACATATGCTTTGGGCCACCAAATATTACATCTTAATTATTTCAAAACAAACCAAAATCACCATGAAAAACATATTTTAAACATTTCTTTTTCATACTCTTCACTTCTTTTCTGCTTTTTTTTTTCTTTGGCTAAATCACCATGAAAAATTTATTTTAAAATAATTCTTTTTCTATGATAACAAGAAGCAAAGATAAAAATTGAAAAGTCCGTACAAACTCAAGGCTATTTTCACCTCAACTTTGGAAACCAAAGAGACTAAGATTTTCTAAATTCAGCAGAGTTGAACCTTCCTAAATCGCTTGATAGTAAATGCTACTCAAAATAGAATTCTCACTCCATCAATTCAAGCAATATTCCTCACTAGCTCAAAGAGAAAAAATCTAAGAAAAACCTAGAAAAATACTAAACTACCCACAAAGAATCATCCAAAAACTCAACCTTCTTCCAAGGAGTGTAGAGCACGTGGCCATTGATAAGTATGGTGTAAGTGTACTTGTTGGGATAAATGCCCTTGTCTATAACTTTACTGAGTAATGCAATTGCACAATCTAAATGATAATTTTTTAATAGAGCATCAATTAAGGAATTGTAGGTAATTATATCAGCACGCTGACCCTTATTAGTTACTGTAATTGGAACTACATGTTTAGCCAACACATTTTTAGATTCTCTCACTTTTCCATCCTTACGCAAGACATCAATCAACATGTTGTAGGTATGAAGTATAAACACTTGGCTTGGTGCTTTTCAATACCATCTCATTGAACAAAAGCGATAGATGAGACTATTGTAGGTGACTACATTGGATTTCCTTGACAACCATTTCTTAAGAAAATCACATGCTTTAGTCAAATATTTATCTTTACACAAAGACTATCAATGATTGTATTATACATTACCAGGCTGAATCGGTTGCCCTTCAACCTGTCTCAGCAACTGGATGACAGCTCTTGTTTCTCTCAAGTAATCTATTGATTAACTTCCCGTACCTAACCCGGTTCATCTGAAATCCTTGTATATACAAAAGAAATATTAGAATATCTTCTAGTGTTAAAGGAATTGAACAGATAAAGATTCAAAAAAGAATCGATCTGATTCAATTCATAATTATATGCAAAAAAAAAACTGAACTGTGTAAACAAAAACTTAATATTGCTATTACAAGAATTGCAGGTGCTTATAAACATCCTAATATTCTTGCAAAATTTATAGCTGGACAATTCGTTTTGTAAAGCAATGAAAAAAGTTATTGAATTAATTAAACAAGCAAGTATAAAAAGAGTGCAAGTAAAAATTGCGGGACGTATCGATGGAATAACAAATTTTTAAGGTATCAAAGTTTGGATATTTATAAACTAAAGAATAACAAATTTTTTTTTATCTTTAAGGTTTTATATTTCGATAAAAAAATAATTATAAACTATTTTATTTTATTTCAAAACAAAAAAAATGATAAATTTTATAAGATTGAATTGAATAAAAAATTTAATTAATTATTTTATATTGATATAATTGCTATACTTAACGTGTTACTCGTTAGTTTTTTTAAAATGCTTAAAATTTAAAAAAAAAATAAAAATCTAACTCATAATATAAATTAATTAAAAAAAACTAATAACCAACTCGTTGAGATTATCTAGATTTAAAGAAATAGTCAAAATTACCTTATCATGAATTTCTGACATTACCGTTAAGACGGAGACCGTTCATCGGTGTATTGAAGGTTATGGTACCTGGGCGATAACCCAATCTGAAGATCTTGGCCAATTCGAAAAAAGCTAATGTCGTGTGACGCAGTTGTCAGAAACAATTGATGAGTATATTGAAAGTAAAAAGGTCTGGCATAATTCCCTTGAATACCAGTTGTTGAACAGGAGAAATAGCGGCGTGGAAGTGCTTATTCTTAACAAGGACCCCAGAATCATGGTAAATTGAATGATGGACGGAAGCATAGTGAGCATGCATTGAATGAAGCAACAGCATCATCAACATTGTGAATAAACGGGGACAAAGATTGGGTGTGAAGCTTTGCAGAGTAACAATTAGAACAAGGGAAAAACTCGGCAATAGTGAGTGAGAGAGCGTACCTTAACCTTGGGACAAGACCTTCCGTCTTTTACAAGATTGAAATTAAAAGTGAAAGAATTGGTCTAGACTTTTAAAGGTTTCTATGGATTGGTGGATGAACGAACCACCGTAGACACGCCTCTGCTTGACTGCTTCTCTCTGTTTTAGTAACATAGAAAGAATAGGAATTGACTTTGAGGTTAGCAGAGGAGAGTGATAGACACGAGAATAACAATAGATAAATATGATAAAAGATTTTTAATTTAGTATCTCAATTATAATATTTTTTACTAGGATTTTTATATTAATTATTATAAAATTAACTATTGATATGATGATTTAATATGAGATGAATTAAATTAAATTTTAAGTAATATGTAACAAAATTTTCTAAATAACATGAGTTTAGTTTAGAAGAGTTTTTAAAATTAGTTTATAATTTTTATAATTTTTTACTTTATTTTAATAAATTATTGAATATCAATAATTTCCGTGAATGTTTTTAATGCCCCGTAAAGTTATTTAAGTTATTTCATTGCATGTGAATGTGTTTCATCGGCATCTATTTGGGATTGCTTTCAAAGATTGGATTGCTCAAATATTTGACTGTGCCAGAGTCTGGAAAGAAATGCTAACCCTGATTTTCACTCTTGCATTAAGAAAAACATGTGAAATATCATTTCAATTAACTTCATTGCTTCCTAGCTGTACTCTTGAAGGTTAGGAAAGTTGGTATATGGAATACTAATCTTACATTATAAGATGAGCAAAAACCAGTTACAATGATGAATATATACATGAATGGAAATAAATTAGGTAATATGATTATGCATAAATAAATATTATTTGTGTAAAATAAATAAGTTTTGATTAAAACTTAATAAAAAAACTATCATTCAATATACGATTTGTTTTATTTTATTATGTTATAGTTTTTCAAAATATTCAAGCAACCTTAAAATTAATTTAATAAACTTTATAAATTTAACATATAGCACTATTTTTAAAATTAGCATTTGCATAAAAATTGAATAGTTCGTTATCTGTTAAGGATCAAACAGTTCACTTGTAGGACATAGGTTCAATTGCAATGTTTATCAATAAACCTATATTGATTGGCATGAAAATAATTACTTTATTATCCAGAAAAGTTTTTTACCTAACAAACAGATATTAACATGTCTCAAGATCTCTTTCTTAAATGCAAAATACTGTATATGCTATGAGAGTACACATGATTGTCACATGTCATATGTTCTACTGTGATCAAAACAATGACAACAACAATTATTAATCAGAATTCTTTCATAAAAACTAATGCGTTGAGCAACACCCAACAACAACTTGTTATCCCAATACAAATTGCGTCAGGCTCTCGAAATTAAAAGAATGAAGGCAATGGGCCATTTAACTTATTTTTACAAAATAAAGATAGGAAAGGCCAACAAGATTGTGTAACCTAACAGTAACTTAATGTAATATGATGGAAGTTTTATTTTGCACAATATAAAATAGTATTGAAAAAAATTAAACAAAGTGCAAAAGTAAGAGAATAAATGGGCCATATAACTTATTTTATCAAGACAAAGATAGGAAAGTCCATATTAAATTTGATCAGCTAAGTAATATTGTGAATCAATAGCTTCATCATTATTTGATAACTTTAACTTGCAGAATATAAAATAGTAATTACCGTATTACCGAAAAGATTATAGTTAAGACCACACATAATTAATATAAAAATAGACAGAGCTCCATGATTTATACATGAATGAAGGAGCAACCACAGCCCAGAATCCCACCATAAATCCTAATGCCATACTCACAAAAGACCAATTCACTTCATGTCCATCACTCTCATTGCCATTTTGATCAATATTAGGAATTTTCCCATTTGAACTGCAGTTGATGGGCAACGGCTCGCCACATAGATTATTGCCAACAAAGCTGAATGCCTCAAGGGATTGCAACTGAGTGCATGTTGGTATTTTCCCCTTCAAATGATTATAAGACAGGTTCAGCAAGCTAATAAAGCTCAAATTTGATATGGTTGTGGGGATTTGACCAGAGAGTTGATTCCTCGAAAAATCAATAGATTGCAATGAACGCATACTACCGATGCTTTGTGGAATATGACCAGTTAATTGATTGTGAGACAAGTTCAAAAAATTCAATCCATCCAGATTTGTTATATCTCTGGGTATTTCTCCTGTTAATTTGTTATCTGAGAGATCAATGCTCGTTACCAAACCAAGAATGTTTCGATACTCGTCTCCCCTTCCTTTCAACCACAGAAGCATGCTCAGAACACTGTAAAAAGTATTTGAGGAACAATAGATAAGTGGATCAGTACTTCTGTTTGGCAGCATCATGGCATTCAAGAGATTGAAACAATTTGGGATATTGCCCGAGAAACTATTGTTTGCAAGGTCCAAAACCTGGAGAGATTTCAAAGCACATATTTGACTGGGAATGTGACTCATAAATTTGTTTGATCGAAGCCGAAGAATTTTCAAATTGACAAGTCTTTCTCCGATCCATGCTGGAATGTTTCCTGAAAAATTATTTTCCCCAAGGTCCAACGATATCAATTCACGAGTGTTCTTTAAAATAGGAGGAAAATTTCCAGAAAGTGTGTTGTTACGGAGTTGCAAAGACTGAAGCGACACTAAAGAGCCCATGGACGAGGGTAAGTTCCCAATAAAATGGTTGCTTTGTAAATTTACATCCACAAGATATGGCCACATTAGCCAACAATCAGGAATTTCCCTTGATAAACTATTTGATGCAACGTTGAGAAATTCTAATTTCTTTGGCTTGTCATGATTTTTGCAAAGCAATTCAGTCATGGATCCGGAGAACAAGTTGTTTGACAGGTCTAATCTGATCATTTTTTCAAAAAGTTGAGGCAGTTGGCCACTCAAGCGATTTGAGCTTAGATCTAAAATTTGAGCAGATATTGGATTCTTTAATGTATTTGCAAGCTCACCATGGATGCTATTATGTGAGAGGTTCAAATAAGAATCCTGAGAAAACGTTTCCCAAAACCAAGTGGGAATAGAATCTGAAATCCCTGTGTTAGAGATTTCCAGATATTTAAGATATTTTTGTGACTGAATCCACGATGGAAATTTGGGGCCTAAATTCCATGAGCTCATTGTCAATCTAGTAACTTGAAATCTAGGACTCCAATTAGGAGTCACTTTTAAAGAGAAGTTGTTCCCTCTTGCATAAAATATCTTTAAGTTCGTAAGATTTGCTAGATCATCTTCCTTCACAACTCCTTGAAAACGATTGTCACCAATTTCAAGATATGACAATTTAGAGAGCGATCCAAGACTTTCAAATGGATTTCCGTTGAATTGATTGTTGGACAGATCAAGATGTCTTAATGACGAGAGTTTTCCAAATGATGGAGGGAGTGCACCATGAATTGAGTTGTGAGAGAAATCAAGTGCAACCAGAGAAGTCAAATTTCCCATAGCATCAGAAATATTTCCACACAAGTTGTTGCATGAAAGGTCTAAGAACCTGAGATGACGAAAACTATATATCCAATCAGGTAAAGATGAGGAGAATGAATTGTAATTCAAGTCAAGAGTTTCAAGAAGTGTGAGGTTTTGAAGGCCATCAGGAATTGGACCTTGGAATGAATTAAGTCTTAATCGAAGATAAACAAGTCTCCTCAGTCCAAATATCCACTTTGGGACAACAGAAGAAGAAATAAGGGAAAGGTCGAGAGTGAGAAGAGATGAAAAGTTGAGTAAGGATGATTGATCATAAGGATGGAGAATACAGTCTGATAAATGAAGCTCCGTCAAAGAAGGAAGAGCATTCAGAGCTTGTAGCCAATCAAATGATTTGGATAGGTTTGCACCGTCCAAATCAACATATTGAAGATTGGAAAGACCCGATAGCCAACGAAGATTGTCAGCAAACACAGTTCCAGGGTAATAATATGCAAGGCCAAGATGTACCAAATTTGTGAGGTTCCCAAATTGAGGAGGAATCTTCCCACTGAATCCGGCATGAGAGAGGTTGAGGTAAGTTAGGGAGGTGATTGCTCCAAGGAAAGCAGGAATTTGCATACCGCCAAAGTCATTGCCGCTTAAGTCCAAGTAATTCAAATGCTTCAAATCAACCAAACATGGATTTATCTCCCCACCAAACATCGACTTCAGAAAAGCATCATATTCGACATCGTCGTACTCGTCAGAAGGAGGTGAAGTACCGAGGTGAAGCTCAACAACATGGGCAGTTATATTACTGCACACAACTCCTAACCACTCACAGCAATTGGTATTAGCAGTTGCATTCCAAGAAGAGAGCCTGTTTGAAGGATCAATGAGATGATCCTTCAACTTCACAAGTGTTTCACTCTCGCTTGGTATGCACACTACATCTCTTGATGCCTTGCAAATTACTACAAGAAACGTCAACAAGGCAAGACACATAAGGCTAACAATGGAGGAATTCATGATCACACAATGCATTCCAAACAATGTTATTTAAGTGATTCTTGCTTCTGAGGATTAAACCTTCTTTCTAATATTTATATGTGCTGGTGCCGTGCCTTTTTTATTTTAATTTCTTCCTCCTTTTTCTTTAACTGATTTTACTATTGACTTTAACATACTTTTGAACAAAATTCTTAGACCCTGTGAATTTTTATATATATATATTTATCTCTCTTACTGTTTAAAATTCTTGTACTAAATTATAAAAAATTTCTCACGGCAACAAGTTATCAACTTAAATAGGAATGTGCATGATCGCAACATAATTTTAGTACAGAATTTGAACTATTGTTTAATATTTAATCCTTAAGTAAAGAATTTACAAGATAACATGATATATTTGTAATAGGTTAATTAAGTACAAAATTATGCCATATAAAAGTATAACCTTTTTTTTATCACGTAAAGTTAAAGAGGGACCAACCTTTAATTTTGTCTTTCATAGACAACAATTGTTGAGAGTCGATCAAGTCAAGCAAGTGAAAACAAAAATATTAATATGCATCAGCTAATTTAAAAATTATTTGGTTCCTATCTTTTTAATTTATATATTATTTTTAATTCATAATAATAATCTTATATAACTTTATAACTTTTCAATTTAATTTTTATTGAATTTGAATATTAAAACATTTTTATTTTAAAAAAACTAATTATAGAGGCCTAAAATTTGCCTGACACATTAACCACGATTTAGAGTCTAATTTTGAAACTATTTCGTTCAATCCATTTAATAATATCCACATAATTAGAGGTGTCAGTGAAGAATCTAAGAGGCTTGGTAAGTTTTGGACTAGAAATCTTTCCACGTCTAAATACTTCATCCATTTTTCTCTGTATACATATGGAATTCCTAATTAACCACGTTCATGAGTAATAAGAATCAATAAGTGTGTTATTTTTTAATTGCTAACTTACTAATTATAATCAATTAATTTAAATTAAATTTATTTTACTAACACAATAATTTATAATGGTAATATATAGTAACTCTATCTTTATACATTGTAAATTATCAAAAATCATGTATACTAATATTATTTCAAGTTTTACACACTATTAATATATTTAAAAAATTAAATCATTCTAAAATAAATCTTACATAATTATTTTTATTTAATTAAAATTTATCATCTAAAATATTCTTCTATTCACATTATTAAGTAATATAAATTATTAAGACTCACTAATATTCATCTTTAATTAATTATATACCTATAACTAATATAAATATATTTCTTATAATTTTTATTTTTATGATTAATTAAAAATATACCCTCTCAAATATTGCTCTGTTCTTTATTATAAATAATTTATTTATATACTTAAATTAAAATATTTTTACCATATTAATATAGCAATTTGTAATGTTATTGCATAGCGTTACTATCTTTATAAACTTATCAAATGATATTTTAATCCTTTTATTGAATGATTTTCTTCATTAATCAATTCAAATATATTTATTTTTTTCATTAAATAGATTTAATTTCATATTTTAATTTTTTAAATCATATTTCTAACTTTGATATATTAAATAACTAAATACTTAATTACTTTATTTTATTTATTTATTTTATTATATAATTTTTTTCAATATCGACATATAATTTACATTACTTTTAGTTTTCCAATAAATTATAAGAGATTTATATAACACCTTAATTTCTACTAAGATCCTATCTCATAATAATATAATTTAAGACTTTTAATAAAATGGTGCACCCAAAATAAACGTGAACAAGAGATCATTCAATCAATATTATAGCGAAGCTACATAATGATTTACAATTTATCTCACAGGAAAGTAAACATCATCTTTCGATCCTCACTGTTCACTCCAAGACGTAATCATGGTTATACATAATAAAAACCCCTTCTCATACTACTCAACACAACTGTATTAACCTACAATGTTCTCAATTTAACCATAATCCAGTTTATTGCGCGACTCAAATAAATCGAGAAGATAATAACCACGACAAGTACCTTCATTTGAGTTTGTTCATCACAAAACATATATATATATTAAATTAGTCCCGCATTTTATCAATATGCTAATAATTTTCGTTATTCACCCTAAATTTTCCCAGAATGATCTTATATAAATAGTGGAGATAAGCGCTTAACATCACATATCATTTGGAATAAAATTCTAGAATCATAACGAGAAGCATGTAGATAAAAAGGAAAGTATATTTATATAAGTCCTCCATCCAAACGATCCAAGGTAAAACTACCTTAAAACAAAAACCCCAAGGTTCAATACTTCAAAAAGTAACAAAAACAACCCAAAAACCTATGAGCAGTGTTCATCCATGACAAAGTGAAATAACAATCTACAAATAAAACTTTAATGGAAGGGAATCCTCACTAGGATCGGATTTCGTACCATCAGAATTAGATGAATCATCCTCGAGATAAGGGCGAGGAGAGGATGGCAAGTCATCCGGGTCGCTATCGATCCAACCAATGGCAGGCGGTGGTGATCGTGAAGTAGGTGGTGGTGAAGGGCGTCGGGTGGAAGGTCCAGCTTCATTAGAAGGGCGTGCCTGAATACTAAGAGAGTGACGGGGTACTGGCCTGACGGAAGACTCAACAACTCTGATGTCTTTCCATTCAGGTGCAGGAGCAGGGCTGGGACAAGGGGTAGGTTCGGGGTCAAGGTCAATAATGGTCTTACCTTTTTCAACAAAAGTTTTAAGTCGTTTGGTAGGGGGTTCTTGAGATGATAGAGAAGGAGAGGATGAGTGAATAATGATACTTCTCTCACGCGGCAAAGGCACGGAGATGTCGGCAAAAATGTGGTCGTTCCAAGTGGGCTTCCATCTGTCTTCAGCGAAAGGCCCCATGGTCATAGAGATCATTCCTTGGTACATGAGGCGGCGCGTCGCTGGATCGTATGTCCAGGCCTCCTTCCCTCCGGAGTCCTCTCCCCAAATCCTCGCTTGGAGCTGGTCCATCTGTCACACAGTCATGCAACACAACAACAACAGCAAAAACAAAACGCAACACCAAAACAAAAGTAGGAAGGGTGAGCTCCAAAACAAGTATCCCTCAGGAATCAAAACAAAAAGATAATTAAAATGACATGATAATATTAACGAAATCAGATTCCCAATAAACACATAGTCTCAAATTGATATCCACCAGACAGACACGAAGCACAAGTGAATTCACAGAAATTCATTAATAATGCAATTCAAACAATATAACTTAGAACACCACTACTTCCCTAATTTCCAGCATTCCTCTAGTCAAGGTGATCGGAGACCCTTATTCCCTACAAGCACACATTGACCATAATACACCAGGGATATTTTTCTTGTATTACCATTTCGGTTCCTCAAGAATGAGTTCTGCCATGATCCTCGGCAATGCTTGCTCACGTCAGGATTAGTAGAGGTTTCAATGGCGACGTGTCCCGGTTGCGGTGAGCTATTCCGCGCCATTGGGGCAACCCCCCTCCACTACCCCTAAGGTTCTCCCCTCGAACTCACATTCTCCAGCTGTGCCAAACTGTGTCCTTGACTCTCCATCTCCCACACCATGTATGTGAATACCCGCATAATAATAATGATAATGTGAAATCAGAGCATACTCAAAAGGATTCACGCATTCAGAAAGAGGAGTGTGCATATACACTCGGGAAAAAGCAAGAGAAAATGGAGGAAGATGGAGATAAATATAACAACTTCAACAAGATATCCAAAAATCCAAAAATACATTGTCTGCGCAAACATTACGAAATTTTACAAAATAACCGTGGCTTAACCCCACATGCAAAAATCAGATTTTTTTTAAGTTAGAAACCAGCAACATCCATGGGTTATCAGTGGAACAAATTTTATTTACAATCGAAAGAGAGTTCTTTGGCTCTCGGCTAAATGGAAATCAACGAAAAGGTAGGTTCTTTTCTCTCTTCATAAAAAAAAAAGGAAAAAAAATGTATATGGGAAGAAAAGAATGATTTTATGATAGAAGATTCAAAAGCAAGATGGACAATAAGAATTGAGAAAAGATGAAACATTTTATAACGAAAATTTGTCATGCAAGAACAAAACTATCTAAAGTCATCATTTTTATTCAATAACAAGTACGAACAAGCAAGGATCATGCAAGGTTCACGGCATCAATGACATGCAAACAATATTTTCACTTATTCACACTCATCCAAGTTACAAAGTACTATTTTTAGGTATTGTCGGATAAAGAAGTTAGGAGATAAAGAGGAAATTGTTTGCATGTGACCTTTTACAATATAGGAGACGAAGATGAAGAAAGAAAGAGAAAAGCAATACATCACACTCGACCACATACACATTCACACATAGTTAAGAGCTTCCTTAACCTTGTTCGGTTTGAAAAATGAGGAAGGGAATGGAAGACTTGACCTTCACGCTTGCCAAAATTTGGTTACAGCTTGAGTCCTTAGTGGCGGCACAACCGTTTGGAAGAGGGGGTGCAGGGGGTGTTGAAAGCTCCTTGGTGTTCGTTGTCTTCTTGAGAGGGTGGTGGTGGAACGTGTTGCTCACGAGAGAAAGAGAGTAGAAAGTTTAGTGTGAGTGTGAAGAGATGTCAAGAGAGAGAAAGAAATGGAGGCGAAATGGTGAGAGAGAATAGTTTCAGACGTGTTAGGTCACAGTGGGTTTGAGAGAGCCTTTTTGGAAGCGGAAGGAAAAGGGCACTCGAGAATGAAAAGGTTATTATATAGGGTGTAGTGTTTGTGTTCCTTTTTCCCCTAATGGAAGTGACGGTTGAATGCACACGAGTGCTAGGGTTGGAGTACTCAAAATGACGTGACTCTTGATCTACCCCTGAAAGGTCACGCCTCTTCTGAAGCTTCTGAAAATGTGGAAAGCTTGCATCATGAGCCATTATGGCAGTAAGAGGGAAAGGCAAGGGTCATACATGTATGTTTCAAAAATTTTTAATTAGCATTGATGATGGGGCTGGCAGTT